TTCCCCAAATCCAAGATCAGAAAGAGCATAACCAAGAAAGAAAATTGTAGAAGATTTATCTGATAACCCAATGAAAACATTCTCAATGAAATTCTTATCAGATTCAATCAAAGAGGATATGAAGACATTCACATGCTATGACCTGGTTGTTTTCACTTTAGAGATACAGTGTTCTTACACGAATCATTAAGTGCAACCGACATATAGACTTCAGAATCTGAGCCATGTGATCTCAGTCAGTACAGAACAGGCCATTGTCACTAAGCTAGCATCCCTTTGTTATAAATGACCTCAAATTAGGAACTGTGGGATTAGAAAGCAGCATAAAATAGACCTATGTCCAGCATTCTACTAAGTGGAGAACAACAGAGAGCATTGCCTGTAAATTCTGGAATGAGACAAAGGTACCCACTCTCCAGTCTTACTCAGCATTTTGCTTGAAACCTTAGTTAGAGCAGTAAGCCAAGAAAAATAAATAAAAGGGATACAGATACAAAAAAGTCAAATTATTCTTATTTGCAGACCACACAATCCTTAGGTCCCAAAGGCTCCATCAGAAAACAGAGCAGGCATTTTCAGCAAAGTACCAATGTGCAAAGTCAACATTGAAACACCAGGAGTGTTTCTGTATATATCAGTAATGAAATTGGAGCTGGATGTGTTGGCACAGGCCTTTAATCCTAGAATTTTGGAGGCAGAGGCAGGTGGATCTCCAGGTTCGAGGCTACCCTGTTTACGGAGTGAGCTCCAGGACAGCCAGGGCTACACAGAGAAACCTTGTCTCAAAGAAGTAAAGAAAGAACTCACAGAGAAATTGGAGCGTTGGAGGGTGGGGTAGGGAATCTGTATTCACAATAGTATCCCCAAACAAAGCAACGGTAGGAGTAAATCTAACAGGTGGTGAAAGTCCTCAACAGTGAAACTCTAGAAAGACACTGAAGAAGACACTAGAGGGTTCATGGATAGACAGGAATAGTACTGTGAAGGAGGCTGTGTTAGTGAGAGCAAGGTGGGGTTTAGTACAGTCCTTATAGAATCTCAGTGACGTTCTTCACAGAGCTAGAGAAAACAGCCATAAAGTTCACAGGGAAGCAGAGGACCCAGAACTAACTAAAGTTGTCCTCGGAGTAGTGCTTGGAGGTGTCACAACACCGGAGCTCATATTGTATTACAGAGCCAGAGTAACAGTGTATCTACTGACACACAAACAGATCTGTAGAGTAGTGGAAGAGAATTGAGACCCAGAGATAAACCCAGTCACAGCACCTAAGTTTTCACAAAACTGAAAACTATACATTAAAGAACAAGATATCCTCTGGCAGTTGTTTCCACAGGAGAACTAGACCCTTCTCTGACCTCACAGAAAGTAAGTTCAGAATGGTTCAGAGACCTTCACAGAAGACCTGGAACTTTGGAACTGCTACAGGAAACTTAGACATTTCAAGATAAAGTACACAGAAAGTGATCGTAAGAATTGACAAACTGGTTTGTATCAATAGGATTCCATGGGCTGCCAAGATGGCTCAGTGGTTGAAGGGATTTGGTGCCAAGCTTGATGACCTGAGTTTTATCCTGGAAGCTACACAGTGGGGGAAAGAGAACCAATTTCTGCAAAGTTCTCCAACCTCCATTTGTGCCCAGTGTCAAATGTTTGCACTCCCACACACAAATAAATACATGTAAAAAATGAAGATTGTGCATCGCAAAGGAAACATGATTGGGTTGAGGAGAGCCTACAGAGCAGTCTTTGCTAGCAGTGCATCAGACAGGTTGCTGGTGTTCACGGTAAATCCCAGCACCTGGGAAGCAATTCAAATCTCTGAATTTGAGACTGACCAGGTCTAGATAGTGAGTTTCAGGCCACCCAGGGCTTTCATAGTAAGTGTTTCAAAAAGAAAAAAAAACCAAAGTAAACCCCCACCTCCAAATATAAAAAGAGAAAAGAAGTGAGAACGGCGGTGGCAGGGGCTGCATAAAGAGGAACCCTTATTCACAGTGGGAACATTAGTGTGTGTGTTCACTGTGGAAGTCAGTGTGGAGGTTCCTCAGCATTCTGAAGACAGAACTACCATATGGTACTGGTGTACCGCTGTGTAGAGTTTCTGTTTGTTGTGATGAAACACCATGACCAAAAGCAACTTGGGGAGGAAAGGGTATCCATGTCATTGTCGAAGGAAGTCAGGGCGGGAACTCAAACAGGGCAGGGTCTTGGAGGCAGGAGCTGATGCAGAAGGCATGGAGGAGTGCTGCGTACTGGGATGCTCAGCCAGCTTTCTCATAGAACCCAGGACCAACAGCCACTCTCTGTGGTACCACTCACAATGGACTGACACCCATCTCCCCCAGCTACTATTTAAGAAAATGCTCTAGGCCGGGCATTGGTAGCATACACCTTTAATCCCAGGCAGAGTCAGGTGAGTTTGAGGCCAGCCTGGTCTACAGAGCCAGTGCCAGGACAGGCTCTAGAGCTACATAGAGAAAAAAACAAAACAAAAACAAAAACAAAAAACCAAAATGCTCTACAGATGTGGCTACAGTGTATTAAAGTGAGGCATTTTTTTCAGTCGAGGCTTCCCCAGGTTGTATTAAATGGATACAAAAGTAGTCAACACACTGAAGTGTTAAGCAAATTAATCTTAATCAATAAAATAATCAGGAGTCAGATAGTGGGGTAAAAACCTGGAAGAGCAGAGAACCAGGAACAGCTGCCAGTTGCTTCCTACCTCTGTCCAAAAAGGCTGAGATCCTGTCTTCCCCCACCTTATCACTTCCTGTCTCCTCCTCCAAAGTGCTGGGATTAGTCAAGGGCCACCACCCCCAGCTTCTGTGGTTAACTACCGGCTAGCTCTGCCTTCTGATCACCAGGCACACCTTATATCACACAAACCACAGCATTCTTGGTTATAGAGTTTCAGATCCCGAGTCAGGATACCACATAGGTATTGGACATTGTGTGTATAGTTGTACTATTCGCAATAGCCAGAAAATGGAACCAGCCTAGGTGTTCATCAGCAGATGAGTGGATTAACAAAGTGTTGTTCATATAAACAATGGGATTTTATGCAGCCACAAAGAAAAATGCCACTCTTAAATTTGCAGGAAAATGGATGGAACTAGATCATTATCTTAAGTAAAGCAAGAAAGTCTTAAATGCTGCATATTTCCTCTTGCACCTAAGTTTAAAATTATAAGCACATTTGTTTGCATGTGTGTGTTTATAGTTTACAAAACTAGAATGTGGATCACAAGAGAGAAGGAAGAGATCTTATGGGAGGGTGATGATTCCAGGCAGCAACAAAGCAGAATCCATGTTACCTGGGGGAAGAAAGGGAACTTTCGGAAGGGGTGTGGTGGAGGGCAGTTGGTTTGAGAACCAAGTACCGTTTACACACCTGTATGAAGGTCCCGTGAAGATGGATGGTGGTAGTTGTGAGGAGTCGGAGGATGGGTGTGCTCTAAATACACTGTATGCATGCATGCATGAAATTACTAAAAAAAATTGTCATGAGAAAAGTGAAGATGGATGGTGGTAGTTGTGAGGAGTCGGAGGATGGGTATGCTCTAAATATACTGTATGCATGCATGCATGAAATTACTAAAAAAAATTGTCATGAGAAAAAATATTCCACTAACTCCTTTTCTCACAGAGCTAGAAAAACCACTTAGAAAATTGATAAAGGATTCAGAAAGTCTCAGATCACCAAAGCTGTCTTAGTAGAAGAGAACCTGCCAGGAAATAATCACACTTGACTTTAGAGTCTACTATAAGCTATAGAGACAGATCCAGGCACACATATAAACCACAGCGAGTGGACAGAATAGCGAGTCCAGAATCAGACCCACACACCGTGTCTTGAGTTTAGACAGGGGTGCCTGGAGCACATAACACAGGGAAGTCAGTTTTCAGTTGGTGCTGTTGGGAAAACTGACTATTCCTAAGCAGGTGAATGAGACCCGCCATCTCCCTTGGGGCTGCGGTCTTTATCATTCTACTGAAGGAAGCCCTCACCCCACACTTTCCCTTCTCCCCCACTCTGCTTTCTTTTCAATGTGATGTGTCCTAGTATTCTCTAATAATACAATCTTATTGGCTTGATTATCCAGTTAAATATAAGCTTATCAAGGGTGGAGACTATTAATTTGTCAGACTAGATGGATCTCAGTAATAACTGCTTGACTGAGTGATTAACTAAATAAGTATGTGAAAAAAATGAGGGCTGGAATATAACAGATTCTACTCCTAGTTCTGAGATCTTGGGCAAGTTATTTAATAATTTTTCTCAGGTTGAACGTCTTCCATAAAACTACAGTAGTAAGAGTACTCATGTCGTGGGTTGCTGAGAGAATTAAGTTGGCTGGTAAATGTAAAATGCTAAATGCTAAGCATAAAAGTGTGTAAAAGAAAATGAAAGTTACCTGTTTTAGCTTGTCCTTGCTTTTGACATCTTATACAGTAAGTGTAGTTGGACTTTTTCATCGGTACTGTCGGCTCCCCAGTAATAACATGGAGACTTACTTTTAACGATGAAAGCTTGGCTGATAGCTTAAGCTTGTTTCTAATTGGCTCTTATAACTTAAATTATCACATTTCTATTAACTTACCTTCTGCCTCGTGACCTTATTATCTCCTCAGTGTAGTGCCCATCCTGCTTGCTCTGCATCCCCTGGTGTCTCTGCCTTCTTCTTCCCAGCGTCCTCTGTGCCTGGAAATCTTGCCTAGCTTTTCTGGAACTAGCTCTTGTAGACTAGGCTGGCCTTGAACTCAGAGATCCACCTGCCTCTGCCTTCTGAGTGCTGGGATTAAAGGTGTGCTCCAACAACGCCTGGCTCAGCTTTTTTTTTTTTTTTAAACCAATTGGAGTGACACATCTTCACAGTATACAAAAAGATTATTTCTCAACAACACAGAATACTGATTGCATGTTTACAAGGAATAGGTGTTGACATTTTAAAGGACTTGTTGGAATCAGAATTCTTTTTTCATTTTTCTCCTTTTCTAGGGGATGCAGAGAGCAACTAATGTCACCTATCAAGCCCACCATGTCAGCAGGAACAAGAGAGGTCAGGTGGTGGGGACCAGAGGTGGCTTTCGTGGTTGCACAGTTTGGCTGACAGGTATGGTCAAGAGAGAAATGAGTGGGTGTGGTGGTGCATGCCTGGAATCCCGGATCTTGGGAGGCTGAGGTGGGGATTGCCTCTACTTTGAAGGTAGCCTGGGCACGTAGTGAGTTCAGGATCAGCTGGGACTGTGTTTCAAGACTGTCGAAACAACAGCAACAACAAAACAATGACATGATCTTAGTGGGTGACTTGGAGCAGAACAGGGGTGTGGGTACATAGATTCCAGTGTGTACAAAGGAGCCACCAAAAGGACAGTGGCAGGAACCATGAGGTAGGGGTGCCAAAAGCAAGCTACGTCCTTCTGTGGGAATACTGACAGTATTCCCATGAGGTGCAGGGGGTGCATTGCTTGGTTTTCCTAGGAAACTGAAGTCCACATTCCATGGAGATTTCTTCTGGCTTCTTCCTCAAACACTGTGGTAACATTGTGGCAGATGGAGGGAGTCCCCCTTCCCAAATTCATAAACTGCTGCATAGAAACCAGTCTGCAGTGGCTGGCAGGAGGCTGTTCACCCACATACCAGGGTGTCACACTGCTCTCCCCATGTACACATGCTGCATAGCCATCAGTTTAAGAGATTGCTTCTCTAGGATATGCCCTGAACATGAAACACTTCAGTTTACTTTTTCTAGAGACATTTAATAGACCAGGTTGTACTTTGATACTTTTTTGGTAAGTGTTGGTAGTAGTTCCTAGAACCATTGTAACACATCAACCAAAACCAGTGGATTCAAGCTATGGCAGGCACTCTTGCTACTTTGCAGGCCACTTACACTTCTGAGTGACAGTGTACTGCCATGATTTTGTTTTAGATCACTGGCACATTAGACTTCCATATTCATCTTTTGCCTTATCGTTCTCTTGTCTTTGATCTGTAATTACGGACTTCAAGTTGGTGAAATGTTAGAATATAAACGTTTTCTTTCTTTCTCTTAGTCACTTAGTGAATAAACATGATTGGGGAGGAGAGTGAATGGAAATTAGGATTTTTTTGTCAGATTAAGTATATTGTGAATTGACTTCTAGATAGTTCTATCGTGGTCCATGAGCAGCATGATCCTGGAATGTGGAGGTAGCTTCATGGTACCACATTGGCTTTTCTCCTTCCCTTTTCTTCCTTTATTATATATAATGTGACATTTGACTATAACAATGTGGCATGTGTCTTTCAGTAGTGTCACCAGTGACAAAGCAACTAAACCTACCCAACCATGACACTAAAATTGGTTAATAATTTTTGTATCTTACTGGTGACTGGTGATTTCTGGATTATTTAAATTATCAAAGATAAATGCTTAAGAAGAACACCCCATGTTCCCCCAAAACATAAACTGTAGATGCTATAGATGTTTTGAGTAGATAAAAAGCTACACTTTTTTTTTTTTTAAAGATTTTATTTATTTATTACGTATACAGTCTTCTGCCTGCATGCCAGCAGAGGGCACTAGATCTCATTCAAGGTGGTTATGAGCCAACATGTGGTTGCTGGGAATTGAACTCAGGACCTCTGGAAGAACAGTCAGTGCTCTTAACCACTGAGCCATCTCTCCAGCACCAAAGGCCACTCTTAAAGAAACAATGGGCAAGAGTGTTTCTGAGGCCCCATGCTGTGAGTAATGGATACAATTAATTTTGTCATTAGAGTCCTGGTTCTAACTTCACAGGTGGGATTTGTTTGGTCTGTCCCCTCTAGGACTGTCTGGGGCAGGGAAGACGACCGTGAGCATGGCACTGGAGGAGTACCTGGTTTGCCATGGCATTCCCTGCTACACTTTGGATGGTGACAACATCCGTCAAGGTCTCAATAAAAACCTTGGCTTCAGTCCTGAGGACAGAGAAGAGAATGTCCGACGCATTGCGGAGGTTGCGAAGCTGTTTGCAGATGCCGGCCTGGTGTGCATCACAAGCTTTATTTCTCCTTACACGCAGGTGTGTAACTTTGTGCCGCTATTAGGTGCACATTGCATAATTGAAAGTGTGGTATCAGGCGAAGCTCGTAGTTAAATATTGGCCTGTGTTTTGAGGCTAAATCCAACTTTATTATTTCCCTGGAATCCAAATAACTTAAAAAAATTATATTCTGTGATTTTTTTTCTGAATAAATACAGTGTGTGTAAAACCTGTTATTAAACATCCAGAAGTATGGTGAGGTGAAGCCATTAGGTGAATTATTTCAAGCTTACTTTCTCTCTCTCTCTCTCTCTCTCTCTCTCTCTCTCTCTCACATGCAAATACACACATACACATATATAAACAAATTCAGGTACAAAGTCCTTTTCATTTATCTTTGATGTCGGTAACATCCAACTTTTTATTGTTCACTTTTTATTGATCACTTATTGTTTCTGAACGTGTTTTTTTTTTTTTTTTTTTCTTTTCTTTTTTTTTCTTTTTTTCCTGAAGGATCGCAACAATGCCAGGCAGATTCACGAGGGTGCAAGCTTACCTTTCTTTGAAGTTTTTGTGGATGCTCCTCTGCATGTCTGTGAACAGAGGGATGTTAAGGGGCTCTACAAGAAAGCACGGGCAGGAGAAATAAAAGGCAAGGAACATTTTCCTCAGTTTCTCTTTGTCTAGATATTTCATGCTTTTGTGTATGGGTCTGATGGTTTTTTGTTTTTATTTTTTTTAATTAAATTGTATTTATGTCTGTGTATCTGTCCTGTCAGTACAGGTGCCTGTGGAGGCTAGAGGCATTGGATCCTCTGCAGCTAGAGTTCCAGGCAGTTGAAAGCCACCTGACATAGGTGCTAGGAACCGAACTCTGGTCCTTTATAAGATCATTATAGGCTCTTAATCAGTGGTCCATCTCTCCAGCCCCCAGGACTGATACTCTTGTCTAAGAAATTGGGAGTAAGTAATGACTTGGGGCTGGCTGAGGAGGGCAAGTGGTTCTTACACTGTTCCCACTCTCAGGCTTAGCAGCAGTACCTGGGACTGTGCCCCGGTGAGCTTTGCTGGCTGTGTTGGAATTCTGCTCACAGGACAGAGCTGGGGCTTTGAGAGGTAGTGCTGAAACCCATTTCATATAATTAGGTGTCTAGAAATAGGTTGTCAGCCATCACTACCTCTAGTCTTTGTTGGGATATGAAAGTGTAGGGTGTCCCATAGCTATTGGGAAAAATGCCTGAAGTATAAGCACCTTGATGGAAGGAGAGTATGCCATTTTTATGTTGCAATATTTGACATGGCTCTTTAGTCATCCTCTTTAAGACTGTTGAGTTTGAATTAACATATCCGGTTCCATGAAAACATGCACACTTTACTTAGGGCTCATGGGCTGCTCACAGTTTCAGTGTCCTACAAATTTGTCACGTTTGATACCAGTTGTGTTCATTCTGTTGGCAGTCCTGGAAACAGGACATATTGTATTAATAAAACATAGAAGGTAGTTTATACCATGAATATTCTTTAGGGATGATTCATACAAGTAACTTGTTTGCCTGCTTAACAAGGTACTATAGATAGCCTGGGACCATTGTAGGAGCTCCGACTTCTAGATTTGGGTATTCAGTTTTTGGCCCAGGAAGGTAAAAGGAAATTGGAAAGGAGAATGTTTGTTACCCATTTTTCCTCTGTATTTGGGCTTGAGAATAAACAGCTGAGGCAAATTCTGCCTGCCCTGGTGACGTCTAATCTTGTGAGCAAAGCTGATGCCAGGTCTCCCTGCCTCGGGGTTCAGCTCCTTGATGAGGCCACTGCCTGTCATACCCCTCATCCATTAAGATGGCAGCTTCTTGACTCAGAGAGAACAGGCTGCCTGCTTGGAGTAATTGATGACAGTGGGCAAGAGAGCAGGTTAGTTATTTCACATTTCCATTTTTTGTTTTGAGCGATGTTATTTAAAATGACCCCCAGTATTGAAAATGCTGTGTAGCACTACTATGTTTTTATTACACTTATCATCAGTGTAATGTGCGTGCGTGCGTGCGTG